ATGGGTCCAGAATATTTTTTTATTTAGCATTCAATGTCTATTGAATGACATGGAATGACAATTGAAAACCTATCTAATAATCAAAAGCTCCATTGTGGGATTACTGTAATTAATAGCCAATGCAGAGTGATGAGGGGGGGAGGTAGAATTTTCTGCTTGTAATATTGTTATTAAAATATTGTAAGCACACTGGTGTAGAAAAAATATCAATAGGTAATCTGAAAAAGTGTAACTTGACGTTTCTATGGTAGTCTTTAAAGATAAGGAAGGAACTGTATATTTAATGTCAATAATTTTGCGAAGCTCTGCAAAACAGAAAATGTAGAAACATTTCTTATAGTAATATTATCTTATTACTATTGTTACCACAGAAAAAAGGCAATTTGTTGATAAATTTGATGTGCACACATAATAAATTCAATATGTACACATGAAAGCTAGCAGATAATTCAGATAATATGTTTGAAGCCAATATCATAATAGTGCATTATTTTAAGATTTAATGCTGCATGAGTTATCCAGTTGTTTATATTTTTAAGGATTCAAAAAATAATAAATTTTATTTTTTAATTAAAATTATTTAGCAGATCATCAATCAATCCTTTTCTAATTAACAACTTTTATGTGCACTTTAGAAATGAAAATGTTTCAAGGGAGTAATCATTAATCTTAATAATGTGATTTGATTGTACTTTATAATTGGATCTGTTCCATAAATATTTTTATATGGAGTTGATATCAGTAATAAGTTTATAGTTAAATATAAGTCCATGAGCAGATGCATTATGAAGACGAAAATAATAATATTGTTTCTTTCCTCTGAAAGTTTCTGAATATTTAGTATAAATTTGCAGAGATAATTACAGGTAATCCTTATAGCTACAGTTGAGCCCAACATTTCTGTCATTAAGCAAGGTAGTTATTACGTGAATTTTGCCCCATTTTATGATCTTTCTTGTCACAATTTAAGTGAATCACTGCTATTGTTAAATTATCCACACAATTGCTAAGTGAATCTGGCTTCCCCATCAACTTCGTTTGTCAGTTGCCAAACATTTGAATTTTGGTCATGTGACCATGGGGATGTTGCAATGGTATAAGTGTGAAACAGTCATAAGTCACTTTTTTCAGTGCCAATGGTAACTTTGGTCACTAAATGAACTGTTGTAAATCAAGGACTACCTATATATATGTGCAATTTTTTATAGCACAGGAAATGTTATACTTAATAGTAGCATAATTTAGCTACATAATCTCCATTTTTATTATTCTGTCAAATTTCAAAAAGGCTACTGGTTTACAGATGAAAGAATTTTCTTGCAGGTAATCCAGGAAAGAGTTATCTACTCTGGCAACTCCGTGTTAAACAAGGATGTTTATGTATATAAGTAAAAAGTCTAATATTGTAAATAACATCATTTCATCAATAGTACATTTATGATACTAGAGTGTCAACCTGTCTACTTTTTTCTTTCTGAAATAATGCTGTGACTTTTTAAAAATACTTTTTTTTTTCATCATTATAACTATGTAGCACTATTCCCAGCATATTCTATTATATAATTTAACTATATAAGAAAATGGTTCAGACATTTCAGTTTTTCTAATTTATCTAAATACTGTGGTCACTGTTACTGAATTGTATACTTTTTGCTCATTACTTAGTTCTATTGGCAGAATTTCAGTCAATAGTAGCTTTGGTAAACTGGTCATTCTCTCACACAACAGCTCATAGCAATATATTGTAGATTCTTTCTGGCTAAACAGATCTGATACAAAGGATTTAGTTAGTCATCTAGAAAATCTTGAAAGAAATATAAATCCATGATTAATCTAGCCAAGTTTATCTGATTAGCATTTTCTTCTTGTCCCCTAGCTGTAGCTTAGTCATCTCTCTCCTGTTTACTCAGAATATAAAACTTTATTCTCCCTCATGTAAAGTGATAGTAGTTAATAAGAGAGACCATAATGAAAACCATTGGATGTTTTTTTTTTCTACTAAATATATATTGGAAATTTAAAGTAACTACATGTTAGAGCAGTCTTTGCCAAAGAGGCACTTTCCAGATGCATTAAGACGTCAGCTGCTATAATGCAATTGGAGTCCAACATTTCTAGGTACCCAGATTAAAGAAATGTTGTTGAAGTGTATAGAGATACTTTGTCAGTGTTTGGTCTTTTAACTGGCCATTATGTCTTTACATATAATTTTTCAGCAAATTATACCCTTTTAGTTTTGTCAAGACCAACTTGTGGTAATAGATTTAACATTTTTCAGAAGCTAATAAGTTGGAACAGTTTCTTTTAATCTTTTATTACATTAAATATTTGTGGATGTTTGCATGTGAAACCAGTGCTGTTTATGAGATTCCATAAATATGCCAATTTATAATTGTTGAATAGTCAGTTGTAGTGTTAAAAGCATTAAATGTCTTACATCATACCTTTTGTTGCATTAGTTATACTGTACATACTTGGTTTTTTGTGGGTTTTTTATTACAGACAGGTTTTTTAGATTTCTGAAACTTAAAAACATTTAAATACAGATAATGATAGCCTTCGGCAGATGTTCATAATTCATAAAGAATGCATAAAGTGATAGTGGCAGGCTCTGCCTTTGGGTTTTGTTTACTATAACGTGTAGAGAGCCACTGTATGCAGGTAATATATAAAATCATATATTTATTGTATAGACCCATTTTGAGATAGCTCCCATATTGCTTGACCCATTCACACATTTAATGTATCACCATTAATGATGAACAAGGCTAATCAGACAAAAGCAATAAGGTTCCCAAAATATTTTAAAAAGTCTTTAATACATCATTAAACTTTCCTGTTGTTGTATTTGATATACTGAAAATAGTAATTGCTTTATTTTCAACATCAATTACCTAATCTATCAGTATTCAGAGTAGACAAAAGATACATGGATGAATTTCTTTTGATCTTCTGATTGGGTTTTTTTCAGTATTTTCCTCATAGAAATTAGGCTAGTGCTGTGTTCTAATTTGACTTGATCGGATTTGAAAGAGCTTAGAACAGTGACGGCGAAACTTTTTGTTGTGTACCGAAAGCGTGTGCGTGCCAGCGCCCACAATGCAATGCCCTCCCGCACATGCGCGCACAACACCTTCACCCCCTTACCTGCACTGTGTGTTCACATGCCTCCCAGCTGATTTTTGGCGCATTTGAGGCTGTTTTTGCCCTCCCAGAGGCTCGAGGGAAGCCTCTGCTGTCTCAGGAGGCCGAAAAACGGGCCTTCCGGAAAAACCGGAAGTGCCTGTTTTCAGCCTTTGGAGGGCCTCTGGAGCCTGGGGGGGGGTCGTTTTTGCCCTCCTGGTGGCTCAAGGGAAGCCTCTGCAACCTTTGGAGGCCGAAAAATGGGCCCATTTTGGCACTTCCAGTATTTCTGGAAGGCCCGTTTTTCAGCCTCCCGAGGCTGCAGAGGCTTCCCTTGAGCCTCCGGGAGAGTGAAAACAGCCTCAAATGCGCCAAAAATCAGCTGGGAGACACGTACATGTGCAGTGCAGGTAAGTTTGGCTGGGGCTTGCATGCCCGCACAAATGGCTCTGCATGCCACTTGTGGCACGTGTGCCATAGTTTTGCCATCACAGGCTTAGAACATGAAGGATTACAAATAAACTTTTGTCAGTTTCCAGGTTTGCATAGTGGCAAAAGCTTCTTGGTAGGAGCAATAGGATCTCCTCAAAATATGAAGTTGCTTTCCTCAGTCATAGAAAAATGATGCATTCATGCTGCTATATTTTCTGGAGCAGTCCTGAAAACCACATTTAAAAATGTATAAATTTCTAATACAAATGGAACCTCTCTATTCAATTAGCTTATTTCTGGATACAGTATACTGAAAAAACAAATGTGCTACTTCTTTCATTCCAATTTTAGAAATCATTCTATTTATTTTCTGTTTTAGATCCAGGTCCAGACTCAGAAGATTTTTATCAACTTCGTCTTTCCCCTTATTTTGTTTCTGATAGTCTCCTAAATTTTTGTTTCAGATATGAGGGGGAGAATATTTGGTATATTGTTGAAAATCACTTCTCTTCTTTTCATAAGACTAGTTAATTACTATAGCACCACTCCTTGGAAGTCTGGATCTTGTATTTAATAAATACTTCAGTTGATAGTTGTTGACTCTTTTTAAATAAATTGTGGATAGTCTGAGCAGTGGATAGATTCTGTTGACCTTGTTTAAATGGCCTCCGAACATAGCATAAATTTAATGGAGGAGCTTGCTGTTATTAGTAGATCTGGATTGCTGTTCTTTATCCTCTTATGAAACAGTAATAGAAAACATCTTCATCTGACACTGTTTAAGAATTAGTTACAATGAACACATCTACAGTATATAGCTTGCTGGCAAAGTTACAATTTCATCATATCAAGTAGATTATTCAGTTCTGGGCTTAGGAAAGATTTTTTTAAAAAAAGAGTGAAGAATAACAGTGAGGAGGATCAAGGGACTGAAAATTAACTGATATGAGAAGAGATTGAAGGAACTGGGTAGGATTTCCTTTGAGAAAAGATAACTGAGAGGAGATCAGTAAGATTCTTCAAATATCTGAATAGATGCCACATAGAAGGACTAGAGCTTTTCCCTGTCATCTCAAAATGTATAGTGTACAGAATAACAGTCTTAAGTTACAAGGCAACTTCATTTGAGTGTTAGGGGAAAGCATTTTGCTGTTAAGAGTAGTTTGACAGCAGAATGAATTACTGAGAAAGATAAGATCCTTTCGCTAGATATATTCAAATAGAGACTGTGTAACGGTAATATTCACTAAGCATATTTTTCTTTGGTTTTGTGCACTTAGTGGAGTTTGACTTCACTGGCCATTTCCATTTCTTTTAGTCTGTTTGTGCTGTGCTGTGTAAATTCTTAAAAGGATTTATCAAATGTGCCTAAAAGAGGTTTGAATTTTTGTTCTTCTTTGCTTATAATTTCATATCAATAAGATATATGTTTTTATTATATATAGGCACTACAAAAGTGAATTTGGTGAAAATCCCATCAACTGTTTCCAGCCCACGAGACACTGCTCTCGCTGCTGTGATATGCAGTGCACTGGCAACCGTACTTTCAGCGCTCTTCATCCTGTGTGTTATCTATTGCAAGAGACAGTTCATGGAAAAGAAGCCAAACTGTAAGTTTCTCTCCTCCCACCCCCACCAACACTTTACATTTATTACTAATATTCTTACCCATGAGGTCTTTATGTTGAGTTTTACTATCTAATAAAAGTCTGTGTAAAAAAATAATAATATTGGAGCTTAACTAACTGTAACTTAAGTGTAACCTGAAGTTTTTGATCAACTACATCAAAGAGTATAAATACACTTATTTGGTTATGTTGAATATATACTCTATATCTGTCTTGATTTTGCCTGGCATTTTGTGAACCATTCAAAAGATCATACAAAAATACATCAAAAATTAATATCCCAAATGTTGCAGTCATGTTGCAGTGTGAAAACTGTGAGAGTCAGAAGAAAGGTTAGCAGTTAGCTACGGCTACTTTTCATGCATTGCTACTCAGTTGTATTTAGATTTTTTTAAATAAAGAAATTATTGAAAAGCAACATATATGTTATTTAGAATTACAGATTATTGTAAACCTTTAACAACAATTTAGGCTGTTGTTGCAATTTCAGATTTCTTCTGCCAAGTATTTCTAATTATTTTTCTTAATGACGAGGGTCAAGGATTAGAACATATTGGAAATAGGCATAAAGGAGCAAGATCCAAGAAAATGATTTAATTCATATTAGGTGAAAACTTTTATAATAGGTGCTCTAAGTTAAATAAAAGTGTAATGGTACTAGATACGATTATAGAATAATTTAAATGTTAATAAAATGGGTTAACACCCAGTGTCAATATCTTCTCTGTTCTAAAGGGTCTGTACAATCACAGGATGTTCACTATGAAGGTTCAGAACTTGCATGTTTTGATAGATCACAACTTAATATATATGAACATAGAACATGCTGCCAGGGCCAGCAGGATTCATTACAGATGTGTGGTAAGTATGGTCTCAAATTACTTGCTGGGTTAGTCTAAGTAGGAGAAACACAGTGAAACTGAAATTTGAATAAAGCCTAGAAAAGTAAATTGCTATGGATAAATTGCTATTTAGTATGCAAGATGTTACACTAGCATAGATCCCATTAAACAGTAGGATTAAAGTAAAAGAATTACTAGCATTTAATAATATAAAGCAAATCAAAATTACACATGGAAATATATAATGTTTCTATGACTAAAACTTTATATGAAGGCTAAGTGCAACACCACCATCGCAAAGGCTAAATGTGTTATAAAGATTTTGTATAAGAGCAGATATGAGCCCTGTGGTGTAGCATTCTCAAACATATTATTTTTGTGTAGAACGCAGTCCCATATCATCATCCCTCACTTGCCTCTCTCCCCAAAGTGGATGGATGACGGATTGTTTGACTAGGCATTAAATTTTAATGGGACCTAAACAACCCCTTTTGTTGTTGATATTTTCTTGCATAACAGAGAGGCGAGACCAGAGGCCAACAGCTGTTCTTCACTATATGTCAACTGTACACTATGGGACTTGTGTGAACCAGCTCATAGCTAGTCTCAACAAGTATAAATTATTTGCATTTCTAGAAAACTATATGCACTTTGTTTCTTATTTAAGATTTTCTTTTTTCAAGGCCCAGTGCATTTGATTCCATCACTGTGCTGTGACGAGTCCTGTAGCTTTGAACATAGCTGTCATGGCTGTCCTTTTCACTCTCAGACTACTCTTCATGAAAGGTACTTCAGGTTTTTAACTTCTGCCTTTTGCTAACTCTTCTACTGAATATTTGTTTGTCCTTATTACATGATACATTGAACTATATTATATTCTGTAGAATTTTCAGTCAACAGAACAGACATTTCTGACAAATTCAGTCACTAATTTGAAAGAGGAAGGGGAATGTGCAATATACAGAAAAAAGCCAATTCAAATAAATTAACTATATTCTAACTATATCCTACTCTGTACTGTTGTTTTTAAAGTGTTCAGTTCTGTTGCATTTTGGTTAGTACTGAAAAGTATAATTTTGTTGTGCTTATTTCCTGCATTTTGAACTTCTCTCCCTCCTGTCACTTGCAATAATTATAACTGACAACATGATGTAAAATTATATTATTATTATTATTGTTATATTTTTCTACCATCTTTATGCCCCCAAATGCATAAATATATCACAAATCACACTTTGTATTTATTGATATGCAATCAGTACATTAGGATCACAAGTTTTTTATATATTATTTTTTAAAATGAATCTTTGTTAAATGACTCTTGTTTCTCAACTTTTTACAGGAATTCAAATTCTATTGGAGAAATGATTCCAGCATTTCTTGGTTCTCTTTCACATTCCACTTGTGGAGATCTTTCAGATGCTTGGCCTCTCATCCAAAAACCAGAATGTTGTGATAGTATTTCTTTCACTGAATCATACCCTGAACTAGTGGGAGAAGATGAAAACCTTTTCAGCCCTCTAGAGATAGAAAGAGACGCTGTGGATTCAGCTAACAAACAGGATTTAAATGTAGTCACTTCTACAAAACCTCATTTTGGAAGCTTGACAGAATCACCTGAACTTTCCAATATCACTGCTCCCTTAGATCAGGTTTTGGCTGCTGAACCATTCTCAGCAACAGAGTATGACAGAACAAACTGATAAACAGGTAAGCACCATTATCTAGCAGATAGTTTAAATGAAACTGTTAAGCAGTATTGTCTGGAATAATTATTTTCTTGTTCTGTTAAATGGACATCACAAAGATCCTCTCATTAATTAATTAAGGAAGGAAGAGAAAATAACAGAAAATGTTATTTTTAAAACTACTTTTCTGGATTTGCATTTTGTATAATTTATTCATTACATTTATATCTCACTACAAATGACTGATAGCAATTAACTTGACATGGGAAACGAAGTCTAAAGCATCCATGGTAGAATAAAATCAAAACAGTATAACAATAAATAAAAAGTCAAGAATAGAGCAAGCCCCCCCAAAAAAATAATATTAAGAGAAGGCCTGATCTAATTAGAATATTGTCTGGAACAGTTTTCTTTGAGAATCTTTTTCAATGCAAGCAGGGAAAAGGCCACACTGATTTCCATGGGGAAGCAGCTCCTCCTGTATGAGTTCCTCTACTTCCCCAAAGTGGGGCACTGCTGCAGCTTAGTCCCCCCAAATGGTTAAGTGGAGCATGCAGGAATGAATTAGGAGAATAAACAGGGAAGGAGAGTAGGAGAAGGAGACTAATTGTCAGTTGTTCATAAAGTTTCTATTGGCTGCAGAAATGTTTGCGTCTCTCTGTTTAGAGTTGTTCCAAATTTGTCATTGGGTTTTGGATGCGTCAAATGGGGTTTAGGATTCTTCAGTCGCTCATGTTGTAGTTTCCACTCTGGGGGTTTCTACCAACTTTGGAGGCTAGCAGAGAGGTGAGAAAAAAGATCCTGTGTTTGATTTAGCAGATCTTGTCATCTTTCAGTAACTAATAAGATCATCTGAAAATGGAACTGTAACACTGTATGTGTATAACAGCCGTTGCAGATGTACTACAAGCTTTCTCTGAGTAGGATTGAAAAGTCCTTGATCTGAAATATCAAGAGTGGGGGAAAGTGTTTTTTTCCTGTCACAGTGAAAAGTTAAGTGGCATACAAAAGCATTTAGGTTATCACCCATAAAATGGAGGACAAAAATAAGAGAGACTTGCTGCATTATGTCTTAACACCTTTGTTTTTCTTTTTCTCTTTTAGGAATCCTCATGGCCTTTCCTGGCAGCCCTTAAATTGAGTGCCTCTTCTCGAATGTTTGTGAGTGGAATGCTGCCTGGGTCTCAGTGGTACTGTTTCAGAAACAGCTGAAATAAATTGGCAGCTTTTGAAAGCTCTTTGGCAGTTGGATTTGCAACAAAGCAGCTGTGTGAGAAGATTTCAAGGAGCAACGTGGTCAAAGACCAAGGGCAGCAGCTAACTGCGGGTTGTTCCTCATTCAGATATAGTTTGATGGATTGATCTCACAGCTAAGGAGATTATGTAAGGATAACAAGCAGTAGAATAGTCTTCTGAGTATATGTACTAACAGCAGATGTGTGACAGAAATTTATCCTTTTATTATGTTGGCAAAAAGAAGCACTTGATAGGATTTGCAACAAAGCTGTGTTGAATCCCTGTGAATGTGCCAAGAATCTTAGCACTGCAAAGAATCCTTTTTAGGAAAAATGAAAATTGCTGATTTGTCTATACTTATTTATTGTGAACCTGGAAATATTCTCTGCTGTCACAGTTCAGTATTGCATAAGTGTTTATATCGAAAAAGCATATTGTAGAAATTGAAAAGTGGTGCTCAAGAGCCTTCTGCACAGCTCTTTATAGGGCAGCTCTCTGATGTTTATCTTGAACTACATCCCAGTGGGTTCAGTGCTGTCTACTCTGGAGGTAAAATAACTCCAATTTTCAATGAAATACTTCCCCTACAAATAACTGCTGTTATATGCTGGTGTTTGGCAGAATTTCCTAATTCAAAAAAACACATTAGATGTCATTTATTTCAGTAGTGGTGTTTTGTTAGTTATATCGGGCATTTACTATGTCAGTGAAATTTTATGTGCTTTTTTATACATTTTTTTTAAAGTTTGAAATAAGACCTAAAATTATAAATGCCTTTGGCCCCTTGGGCAGTGTCTCAGGACCCTAGGATTCCTTACATTTGAATAAAGAAATGAGCAGAAAGCATTCAGGATCCAAAACACTCTACCATTTCCATGTCTCTAAACTGAAGGGAAATATAGCTCAGCAGTGGGACTATTAAAAAAAATCCCATTGCTTGAAGAAGTAGGTAGAGATGTATATATCAGTAATTATTTCTGCTCTTTAAAATAGTAGCAAAGAGAGCATTAGAATAGTTCTACTACTCTGCAATACTGTTCCCTCTTACTTGTGGATAAAAATTAAATTCAATGGAATCTATTTTCTTAGTAGATATGGATAAAATTGTAGTCTTAAAAGTTACATTTGTAAACCCACAAATACAATAATTGAGGGAATGCAGTGTTATGTATAGTTACTTGAAAGGTAAGGCCCACCAAAAAGTAGTAGGTAAGGTCAGACATCCGAGGCAGATTGGTATGCAGGGTACTATGTTAACATTATTATTGCAAAATTCACATTTATATAATTTTTGCATGAGAAACCATATTTATGTAAACTTTGTAAATAATCTGACATGCATTTCAGTATTGTGTAAAACTTTTGATAAAATATATATAGAAATTTCACCTATGAAAGCTCTTTCATAAATTAATTTTGTCATTTTTATCCATTATCTGTGCTATCTATGGACAATGGTCATTTTGTATGTGTAATTTACACTTTATATAATTAGATTACCCACCAACCCACGTATTAAAAATGAAGAACTGGGAAGTATAAATTACATATACTATACTGTTCATAAAATGTTTGATTCAATTAAATTCATATTAATTATGTTGCCTATGTCAAACATGTTGCATATGTGCAAAAAGATTGAATGATTGATTATGAGCCATCAAGTTGGGGTCAACCTGATGATCAAATAGGTAGACCCCCACCAGTATAATTCTTTCCCTGCTACGTCCCTTCAAAACTTTCAGTGGTACAGCCATCACACTTGCTGATCACCCTTTTCTTCTCTTTCCCAACATTATGGACTTATCAGAGAAGCTAGGTCTTTGTATGATGTTTCCAAAATATGATAATTTGTGCTTTAAATGAAAATTTTGGCTGAATCGTTCTGTGATCTGTTCGTTATTTTCTTGGCTATTGATGTTTTCTCACGAGCCTTCTCCAACATTCAAAAACTTCAGTACTCTTTCCTTTGTGCTTATTCAAGGTCCAACTTTTGCCTGTGTGATGCTGATCTTTGTAGCTCACAAGCATCTGTATATTTTTTCTAAGATTTTCATTGCTGCTCTTTCATGTGCTAGTTTGGGGCATATTGCTTTACTACTTTATAGCTGGTTGGTGATCCTAAAATGCAAAAAGTATTCTCCATTTTAGTATCTTCATTGTCAATTCTGAGGCTGGTTGCCATACCAGTTATTAGTTTGGTCTTTCTTATATTTAATCACCGCCCCATTCTTTCACTGTCCTTCTTTGCTGGCTGAGGAATTCTGGGAGTTGAAGTCCACAAGTCTTAAAGTTGCCAAGGTTGGACACCCCTGTTATAGTTGATTAATTTCATCTTTCACTGTATTGAGCTTTCCCACATTCATGCTTCTTACATTCCACATGCCCAGTGCAACTCTTGTCTGCGTGACTTCAGTTTATCTTTACCTATGTTACAACTTGATATCCTGCATGTTTTAATCTAACCACATCATATAGAACATCAATACTCAAAAAAGTATCTTCCAGTAGCTTTTTCAGTGCATGTGAGAAGCCCATCATTCAGTATTATTTCCTCAATTGCTTCACCTGGTCTATCCATGTGATTTTCTTAGTGAAATACAGGAATAGTTTAACATTGCCTTCTCCCACTCAGTATAAAATTGTACCATTTCTGTTATTTCTAAAGGCGTATAAAATTACATTTAATAAAATAAATGAATCCTTGCTACCCAATATAGATGCCTTCTTACTTTAGTTGGGCAACTAGTGTTACCTTCATGCCTTGGGTGATCCATTTGGTGCACACTCAGCAGTGTCCTCCGCCACCAAAATAAGGGAGAATAGCAGGTCTGAGAAATAGGTGGGAAAGGGGGCAACAAAAACATATACTGACGTAGGCTTCTTTCAAACACAGTAAGATTTTTTTTTAATATTTTATATGTAGAAATACAAGTGTGACTTGAAACCTTGTGTACATGTTTATATATTTTTCTATTTGTTAATAAATAGTCATTCAAATAATACATGTATGTCTCAGAATACTCATCTTTATGTACATGAATCTGGGATGCCTCCAGTTATTATTTTAAAACAGTGACACATATCAGATGCTGTGCCACTTTCTGCTGCGGCTTAGAGTAATATTATTAGGGTTGTAGATGAAACATGGATAAATATCTGAGCTATTCTTAATTCTGAGCTATTCTTAATTCATTTCTAACCAAGGCATACATTTGCAATCATGAACAATAGCATAATTTTTACACTTTGGCATAGAAGCTGCTTGTGAAGATAATTCTGAGTGCCTCAATGGTTTAGCAATTGAGTTTAATAGGACAGGAAAGGGGTGGAATGACTAGAGAACAGTGTGTGCTCAGCCACATGGGACAGAAAGGACATTATCTAAATAGTTGCTGAGTATTAAAGGAATCCAGCAAGGAGGGGGGGATTGAAAAGGAGCCCCAAGCATTTTTCTATCCTACTGAAGAGTGGCATTCAGCTAATTTGAGATACTGAGAAGGGAACAAGAAAAATTAAAGGCCTTTACACTGGAAATCACCTTAAGAAAAAAGTGAAAATAAATGGTTAGAAGCCTGCACTTTTGCTATTGCCTGAAAATTATAGAGCCCCAGGGGGGTACAGCCAAGTGCAAGTTTTACTAGTACTTTAAAAATAAATATGAGGATTGGAACAAGAGGTTTTATTAAACCAAACAACAGGTATTGACTGTGATGGCCCCATCGATTGCTGGCTCAGAGAAAGTGTGTGTGTGTGTGATTGGATGGACAGCTGCCTGCTGAAGAAGAGGAAGGAGAAGCATGGCTGCCGCTGGTTAACACTGGCGATCAGCAGTAAGCTGCCTCCGTTGAGGAACACCTTCCACACCCCCACCCAATCTGCCAACACCAAGAGCAGAGAGAGAGAGGAAGGTCAGAGGAGGTCTGTTTTGCCCTGAAATCTTGTCTTGCCCATTGGGTTATCTCCAACAGTTGGTGCTGCGGGTTTACTAATGATACTTAGGATGTTGATATATTCATTTCAGAGCCAGGTCAGCCCAGGGTGAAAAAAAATGTTGAATATTACCATTCCTACCATTCCTAGATGTACTAATCTACAAAAAAAACAGATGGCACACTAGGACACACCGTATACCAGAAGAAAACACACACCAACCGCTACCTCAACGCCCAATCCCACCACCACCCAGCACAGATAAACTCCTTGGCTAAAACACTAATTGCTAGAACCAAACGCCTGGCAGACAAGACACACATAAAGACTGAACTATGCACCCTGACTAAAGTACTGACAGCCAACGGCTTCCACAAAAACAAAATCACCAGCTTGATCCACAAAAACACACTGAGACATAATGGAGACCCAGAAGATGAACAGACCTATGGAACAGCTGTCCTGCCCTACATAAGAGGTACTACAGACAAAATTAGTAAGATACTACACAGACATCACATCAAGACTGCCTTCAAAACAGACAGAAAAATAGCAGCCATCCTTAGAAACCCCAAAGATAAAATTGACCTGGAAAACCAAGGCATATACGAAGTCCCCTGTGCATCATGCCCTGCCACATACATTGGGCAGACCAATAGAAGAATAAGTACCCGCCTGGATGAACACAAAAATGCAGTAAAAAAGCTGAAACACACTTCCTCACTAGTCCAACACATGGAAGCCACAGGTCATAGCATCAACTTCAATGGCACCAAAACCCTAGCCACTATAGAAAACCCCAGCCACAGAATCATCAGAGAAGCCATAGAGATTGAAAAAAGACCAGAAAGCATGAATAGAAGAGATGATTCCACCAGACTGTCAATCATTTGGAAGCCTGCACTCACAAACAAAAAAATATCCACACCACAAGCCAGGCAAACACCTGGGCACAAACAGATCCCCGATACCTCCAGCTCAAACACACCCCAACCAGGCACCCAGATGAAACCTAGCTTCCTAACAAATGATAGCCGTCCATTTACCCGGAGCCAAGCTGCACTAAAGGCCTCCAATAAAGGAATACAATGTTGCCAGCCAATCAAGATACAAAAAGAGCCACAAAACAGACAAAAGATATTAGAAACACCAATCAAGCAGAACACAGCAAACTCCAAGACCAATAAACACAGACCAAGACTCCCAACCAATCAGGATGAAGAAAAAACCATTCTGGCACAGCAATAGGCTGCCCCAAATTTAAATCTGAAACCACTATAAAAGTCTGACTCACAGGCGAACACAATACAGAAGCCTGATGATGGCAGATGAGATTCTGCCGAAACGTTGCTACAACTTTAAAAGCACAACTACAATGACGTGGGAAAATACCCGAACAAAGCTGAATGCCATACATGTAAGTACCCGCGAAAACTTAAGAAAATATATATACCCGCGAAAACTTAAGAATGTATGTATGTATGTATGTATGTATGTATGTATGTATGTATGTATGGGTTGGAGGAAAATGTCCCATTCTTCCTCTCGTGAGCTTGAGCTTAAAGCACCGTTTGAAGATTGAATCCAAAGTGTTGGACAATCCTATAAATTTCAATTTTCTATATGTACAGAAAATTCATTCTATCTTTTAGGGAAAAAATCAAATTATATTAAATTTTATTGATGGACTTGAATATGAAAGCTATGCTGAAGTTGTCTGCTAAGCTTGTATCGCCTAAGCATACTTTTTATCCTGAAAATGTGAAGTTGCTACGTTACCTAGAGCCAGTTTGGTGTAGTGGTTAAGGCAAAGGCTAGAAACAAGGAGAATGTGAGTTCTAGTCCTGCTTTAGGCATGAAAACCATCCAGGTGTCTTTGAGCCAATCACTTTCTCTTAGCCCAATTCATCTCACAGGGTGGTTGTTATGGGGGGAAATAGGAGGACAGAGTATTAGGTATGTTCACTGTCTTGACTTACTTATAAAGTAATAAGGGTAGGATATAAATAAAATAAAAATACTCATTATTTGTGAATGTGCCATAATTATATTTTTTCCTGTGTTGATGGCATTATATGGCAGGGTTAAAACCCTTCATTTCCCTTTAAGCACTCACGCCAGTAGATTAAATTACTTTCTCTTCTTCCTTTACTGAGCTTCCATTGTGGAGTGAGGATTACATTACAACCTGAAGCACATTCCAATTCATTTTTTTAAAGAACAAAACAAAACCCTTATTGGCTTCAACGGTGTGCTGTTGTTGAAAGAATGGGACTGGTATATTCGCATAACAAAGGAGCACAGTGCAGGGCTGTGTGTTAATAGGGTTCAAGTTAATCCTCCTTGGTTTTAGCAGGAGTGCTGGCAAAACTCTCCTTGGCTTCACAACACATGGGAGCTGTTGTGATTATGTTTTGCAAGATGAAACGCTTGCGAAAGGATTGCCAGAGGTCCTACTGTGTTTCACAGTGGTAGTGAAGAATGAGATTCAAGAATATGTTGAGCAATAGCATAGGTAAGAAGCAAAGAGGCAACTGACAGGATAAATGGTAAAGATTTCACTCCAGTTTTATTCTGTCAGTTCTATCCTGTCATAGGTTGTGAAGGAAAACTTGGAACTTTTACCCAAGAAATTATGTCTGTGCAATATTTTAAATGGAACAGATGCTTTAAATATTCTGACTCAGTATTTCTGAACTTCAGCTACTTTCAGATGTGTAGACAAACTCCAAGAATTCCTCAACCAGCATGGGAATTCTGCAAGTTGAAATCCACACATCTTAAAAGTAGCTGAGGTTGAAAAAACATTCAGGATCATGAATGTCATTTTGAGCTCTTTGTTGGAAATCATGGATACACTATACATTGTCTTCCCTCTTGCTTTGCTTTTTATTTTGTTGAAGAGGTCATAAAGAGGGACTTTAATGCCATCTTTTTATTTATCCAGATATTCCAGATACATAGACGCAAGTGAAGAATTATAGTTCTTTTATTGTTCATTTTATAAATGAAAGCCTGTACTCACATATCCATACACCGATAAAAAATTAAAAACGTTTTAAGTAAACTTAGTGGTCACCCAACTCCAAATATTAGGCAATTTACACTTTTTAATATGTAAGGAACAATAAAATAAAAACGGAAAAGTCACATCCATTGGGGGGAAAAAAACAAGCGCAATCCATCAAAGAAACAACTACTTACCTCCAGTTCTGGGAGAACAATACATTCAAAACTGTCCTGACTTCCTGCTTGCAGAAAAGGCATCTCAAAAAGTCATGTAAAGCTGCCTTGCTTGCTACTTCCTTT